AGACTTTTATGATTAATTAATATATGTTGTCATAGTTTCAAAAACGGACAATATTTCAATCAGCAAGAGTCTTGGAAGATGGTGACATTCTCTGAATAGTGAAAGATCGAATCAAAGGTTTTTCAATGCTTCCGCCCTTTTTTAATTTTTACTTTCAAGGGTTTTGGTTCGGCTTCCTCATTGGCCGAAAGTTTTGTTCGCTTCATGTGAGTGTGTGGTGTGTTATACCCCTAGCAATGTCTAGAGGTTGTGTGTTCCTCATCGGTGAAATCGATCTGGAGAATCTTTGTTGTTCTTGGTTGACAAAACTTTTTCAGCCTTGTTATTGTGAGGCTTCAATTACTCGTCCTCCACCTGAACTATTGCCTTGCTCTGGGAAGAAGAGAATGCTCAATTGGATGTCCTTTTCGGTGGTCGGTCAAACCGATGATTTAGAAAATTTCTGCTCGGGTGAGTTTCCTTATTTATTGGTTGCTTGTTAAACCAATTCTTCCTTTCTGATGGCTGGTGAAGCCGGGATTCTTTATTTAATTTGTTAACTTTCTAGTTTGGACAATTTATTTTCTTTCAATTATCTTTTGAATAGTAAGTTCAACAGTGTTGTTAGATTAGTCTACATTATTAAGGTATTAACGAATTTGTTTAGTCCTTGTACGCCACCCAATTATATGTCACATCCTAGTGTAGCGTCGAGCTATTGTATTGTTTTATCTCTTGTTATTTTTATCATTAATAAATAAGTTTCATTTTTGTCAAAAAAGGAGAATATTTCAAAATGTATTGAATTTTTGAATTCGGGATTCAATTGGATTCAAAGTTTGTAGATTGAATTTAATATGTGATGTAAACAAATTCAAAAATGTGAAAATTCATCAATTAGATACAATTCAGGGTAAATTATACGGTACAGCCAGTTGTACCATGAGCATGGTACAGCCGGCATTTTTGTTATTAATTAGAAGTTTCAGGGTTATAATTAGGGTAAAGTTACTGTAGCTCTTTCTTTTTCCGCCGCATGTGCTCCTGGACTCTCAAGCGTTGTGGGTATCGACTTGTGCAGTGTTGTAGCTAACGCGTTAAGTATCCCGCCTAGGAGTACGTTCGCACGAATGAAACTCAAAGGAATTGGCGGGGGGCCACACAAGCGGTGGAGCATGTGGTTTAATTCGATGCAAAGCCGTATGCTGTTGTGTCCTCGGCTAAACTAAGTCAGGTGGTAGAACCTGTTTGTTACAAAGATACCTCCGACAAGATGGTTCAGGAAAGTGCTAACAAGGGCAAAAGACTAGCATTCGATGCATCAATGCTTGCGTCGTCCTCATCAACAGTCAAGTAAGAAGTGCCACAACTTCCTGAACCTAATCACATTTACTATATCTCTCACAGTGAATATGGGGTATTTGGACATGAGAGACCGTGCAGGAGCTACTACAATGGATTTTGCGGAAGTACTTCTTCTTTATCTTTATTATAAGCGAGGACCGCCTTTTCTGTTACTCGTCGTTTGGCTTGTTGCGCACGCACTATTGCTTTTTTTTTCTTTTTTCTTTTTTTTTTTTTCTTTTTTGTGAGTTCCGCACTACTGCTTTTTTTTTGTTATTGTTATTGTTTGTTATCCTTTTTTTCTCTTTAGCAATCCTTTGCTTTAATTATATATTCAATTATTATGAAAATGTGTTATATAAAATGTTCTACAAAATATTATTAAATGTCCGAATTTATTTTTTTTTCTTTTTCAAATCAACCTTCTAACTTAAGTTTTTTTTACTTATGTATTATAAAATATTTTAGGTATTAATGTTGTATTTTTCTATTTTTAATTTATGATGAATATTTACCGGTTTATTAAATATTGTGTGCAAATTACTAACATAAGTTTTGTGTTATACTAAAATGAGTATAATGTAAAATAAATATGCATGAGTAAACATTATAAAATGAATCCGACTATACTTTAATTTGAGAACTAAAGATTATAAATTATTTGTAATACAAAATTAGTATATTTTTCATTACTATATTTGTCATTATATGTGCACAAATGAACATTTGAACACATTAAAGAATTCAATTGAGCTTTAAAATTTTCTGATACTCATTCTGTAAGCTATGTATGTTCAAAAGTATCATATTAGATTCACATAAAAGTTAGATTATATGCACGGGAGTACATATCATGATACTCAATTGCATTCTTCTGATACTCAATGGGGGAGGTTTGATATTCAATGAAATTGTCTTTATACTCAAATAACATCATGATGTTATGCTCGATCATTTTAAAATGTTTTATTAATGCATATTTCAAAAGTATACTCTTGCATGATTCACGTAAGAGTTGATTATAGATACGGGAGCACATACCATGATTCCCAGTTGCATGTTTGTAATACTCAATAGATGATGTTTGATACTCAATGCAAATGTCTTGATGCTCAACTAACAAAGCTTATGATTTGGTAAGTTATGTATGTTCATTTGGTACTGATGTTATGCTCATATTAAAATGTTATATCAATGCATATTTCAAAAGTAGCATACTGCATTAGATTCACATATTGAACTTCATACGGATTGATTGTAGATATAATTTAATAAGTTTCTATAAAAGAAAAAAATTAAAAAGAAAGTGATGAATTAGAAGATATGAAGCATAGATTACGATGCTCAATATTAGACTCCTGATACTCAATATAATAGGTCTAGTGCTAATTAAAAGTTCATTATTGCTCATTTAACAGAAGACGTTATTTTCATCTCAATATAGGAGGTTTGATGCTCAATGAAAATGTCATGACGTCAACTAACAAACCTTATGTTTTTCATATTTACGCTCATTTTGTATGTTACATATGCTCAATTGGTACTCATGTTATTCTCATTTTTAAAATGTCATAACAATGCATATTTCAAAAGTACCATATTACATTAGATTTGCATATTGAAATTCATAGGAATTGATTATAGATACAAATTAACGAGTTTTTATAAAAGAAAAAATAAGAAAAAGAAAGTGAATTACAATATATGAAATTGATATCACAATACTCATTATTCGACTCTTAATGCTCAGTAGAATACGTCCAATGCTCATTAAAAGTATATTAATGTTCATCTAATGAAAACCACGATTTTTACTGAAATTACGAAAATGCCACCATTTTTTAGTTGTGATATCAGTTTTCTTGTACTAACACGGTGCAGCTCATTAAAATTGGACTGTTGCTCATTAACAGTACATTAATGCTCATTTAGCAGAAATCGCGATTTTCACATTAATTACAAAAATGCCACCGCATTCTTTTGCTATTATAGGCCTGTTTCGCTGCATATTATTTTGTTCCTTGTTGGGCAGGCTGTACGGTGCTCACCGTACAGCCGGATGTATGATATACCAAGAGAATATTACCCGAAATAGGACTAAAAATGTTTGAAAATTCCAAAATAGGACTACCATGTTTTTATTCCCGAAATAGGATAAATTATCAGTGGCGGAACTAGGGGGCGAGCCAGTGCTTCCGCATCCCCGTTCGCCGGAGGTTATAGTGTATATATATGTATATGTATATGTCCAGCCCCGTCTTACGATGGGTAATAAATATTAAAGGACCCGTAATTAAATAAACAATTACTGCAGCATGGATGGCTTGAAGTTGCATTTCTTTTCCGTGTTGACGCGGGTTCGAATCCCTCCGAGTACTTGTTTTATAACTACGTCCTCAGTAGTCAGTATTAAACCTCCTCTAGCTTCTTAAGTCATTTTTAATAACTACGTATTAAACTTCCTCTAGTGTCTTAAGTTTTGTGATGTTATTAGTTAGTTTTAATATTTTCGTTACCACTTCCAGATTTCTTTCACTTTTATGTTACATTTTATTTTAAAAATAAAATTGTTTATTTTTTATTTTTTTCGAATTTTAACATGTTATATACTTCGCCAAAAAAATGTTATATGTTTGCTTTTTAGTACAATAACAGTAAAAAATGACTTTTAATTAGTTCTTCACTCCTCAAACATTTACCTATATAATTTTATAAAGAGTTATCAAGAAATTTTTCAAAACGACTACAATTTTAACATAACTATTTATTTATGAGATATTACCCAAAATAGGACTAAAAAGGTTTGAAAATTCCAAAATAGGACTGCCATGTTTTTATTCCCAAAATAGGAGCAATTACTGTCATGTTTTGACAGTACCAGACTTCAAACATGGCAGTATTTTTCAAACTTGGCAGTAATTACTCCTATTTTGGGAATAAAAAACATGTCAGTCCTATTTTGGAATTTTCAAACTCTTTTAGTCCTATTTTGGGAACTTTCCCTTTATTTATTCCTTGATTTAGTACAAATATGCCAAAATTCTGATTGATATTTGAAATATCTGACTTTATATGAGTATAATTAGATTTATGTAATACATTAGCATAAATTAAACAAATATCGATCCTCATAAAAAATAACCTACAAGTAACGTTGATTTGGAAAGAGAATCATAAAATTATTATTTTCATGATAAGTTAGTAACTTATATATTATTAATTTAATCATCTTCCTCTACTTCTTTAGCTATATTTTTATTTAAACCTTGTTATTATATTCTAAAATAAAAGGGAAGTGTATTCAATCAAATTATCAAAATAAACTCGTTTCATAAAAAAAAATCTGTAATTTTGTGTAAAACTGAATAAATGTTTATATTTAACCAAAAAACGGTACAAATTATAGGTCTTTCCAACCAACCGTTCGTATTTTTTCGCCCCCCCTCGACTTTTGTTCTGGTTCCGCCACTGCTAATTATGGTCATGTTTTGGCAGTACCAGACTTCAAACATGTCAGTATTTTCCAAACTTGGCAGTAATTACTCCTATTTTTGGAATAAAAAACATGATAGTCCTATTTTGTAGTTTTCAAACTGCTTTAGTCCTGTTTCGGGAACTGGGAACTTTCCCATATACCAACTTACGATTCAGTTTTGAATTTTTGATTCAATTTAATTCTATCTTAACCCTTCTTCGTCTTATTACGATCCGGTTGGGTGAAACGGAACACCCGAAGTCCAGAAAAATATATCCACCCGTACCATAAAACCTTGATCGCTAGACTGGAATTACCACTCTAGGGTTTTGGGCTTATATTTACCTGAAAATCTAAACCCGCCTGCTGCCCATCACGGCACTCTGCAATGGCAATCAAAGGCAAATCCAGCGGCGGCGGCAGCAGCAGCGACCGCTCCATTATTAATCGTGTCTCGGAGTCTTCAATAGTCCGCAAAGGAAAGAGCGCCGCTTCTGACGCCGCATACGTAAGCAAGCGTTTGGCCAAGAGTACCGGCAAGGCGGCGTGGATCGCCGCCACCACTCTTCTTATCATCGCCGTCCCACTCATCATTGTAATGGACCGGGAGCAGCAGCTCAACGAACTCGATCTCCAGCAGGCCAGTCTCTTCGGCACTTCTCAACCTCCCTCTGTTGGCCCACCTCAAAAGTAATCGGATCTTACACTGTTAGTTTTGGTCTTTCCGGAATTTAGAGTGCATTTTCTTTTGTGGAAGGGTTTTAATGTTTACGGAGTATGAGGTATTTCTGATTGATCGATCATAATGTTGAAAATTGATATGCTTACATTATCGACAATTACTTGACTTTTCGTGTGTTAGTTCTTTGAGCCGTTCCTGCACCCTTCTTATTTTCCTGACATTTTTTATTTCAGATTCTATTTCTTCATTTTTTTTCTGGAAGGAAAAATAAAATAAAAGAGAGAACCCCACAACCAATGTCAGCCCTCTGTAAGGTTCATGTGCTTGATGGAACTCCTGAGTTCTGTTTTGGAAATTTCTTTGAGAATATTAAATTTAATGCTTTTCTATGAATCATTTAATCCGCTTCCCTCAAATCTCACACACCCTACCCAGTGCAACATGGGAGACAACTTACAGTCCGGAGAAGTGTCTGTATAAAATGCTTTAGGATCCTTTTCAGTTCCCATTGAAGGTACTATACCATTCTGGCCTTCTGTGTTGTTAATATCAGATAGTACTCTTCTGTTCTTTACCCTTGGTCCTTGGATAGCATAAAGCTATTCAGGTTTGAAATCTCTTACTCTAGAGTACCCTTTACATTACTAGTGAATGTTAAGGCAACCCTTCACCATAAACTTCTTCAACTAAGTCTTAGGCCAGTGATAAATGATCAACTTAAGTTGATTTATAAATCGGTGGTCTTCATTTCATTCTGCCTTTACTTAGGCAATGTCTTAGAAACTTCCAAGAGTTAAAGCATAAATGCATAAGTATCATATTGTTAGCTTGATTCTACTACAATGTTTTAGTTCTTTGTCCTCTATCAGAATCCAGAATGATGAGTTTAAGTTAATTTGTGAATAAGTCGTTGGCAAGTTTCTACACGTATGATTTATTTAGTTAAACCAAAATATAAATGTAAACAATATACAAGTATAGTTCATGATTTTTTATGGTAGTACCTTTACCAAAAAGCATGCCTTTTTTGGGTTGATGTATTTTTAAAATATTCATGGTATTGTGAGGTACTGAGGTGAACCATTATTTATGAAAGTTTTGAATTAAGTTGTACTGGTTAGGATGTAACAAATACTACCTCCGTCCCAATTTGATGGTCCTAGTTCATAGTCACTTGGTCAACACAAATCACTCTCAATCTCTTATTTTTTATATCAAATTTCTATCAAATTTGATTCAGGTATTTGTGACTATAAAACTTTCAATGTAGTTTCTGAATATGCAAATTCTATTTGCTACAAATAATTTCATAGCGGACAGGGATTTGTTTGTTTTATCGTCGGTCATGCCTCGTAAACCGCAACAGGACCATCAAATTGGGACGGAGGGAGTTACCTATATTGCAAACCAAGATCCTAAAGCGGCATTGGTGTTTAAGCAGTTGGATACTTGGATTTCATTGTGTCTTCACAATCCAATTGTTTTCCCTTGGATTTTTATTTAAAATATAAAAAAAAAGGGTAAAAAGCATTTTGGCAAGCCCCCGATGGTTCAGTGAAATGGTTCTTGAAATTTCCCTCTGAATCCTTGGGCTTGTGCTTCTTGAAATTCTGATAATCAAACCCCCTCTAAACAAACTCCTAGCCATTTTCCCAATTCCTTCTTTGACCAATTTATTGTCAATGTCTGTAATTCTTAATATTCATTCACACTTACAAATTTTCTTATCAACAGTTTTGTATTGGAAAATGTTACAAGTATAAACAAATCTACAAAAAAAATTCGAAACAAGTGATGTGGCTATTGTTCACCTGTAAAAAGTGTAAAAAGTGATATGTTGTGTTAAACAATACTACCATGATGCAAGACTTTTTGTAAGAATATATGTACCACTAGCATACTCTGAGGTGCATTTGTCTTAGCCTATCAACATAAAGAAAAAAATATACATTTATTGATAATCAATGGAGGTGAGGACGGATCATTCATGTACTACACCTCCATTGAAGTCTGTCTCTCAGGATTGCAGTATTTCAAATGTTGATACTCACTTCTTCATTTTTATTGAGAAAACAGTAACATTGACATATTGCAGTAACATGAAGCCATATTCACTCATAGGATTGACATCCACAAACAACTTTTGGATCTTATTCATTCCAAATTTAAGGATGTTTTTAATTGGACTGAACTTTTATCGTTTGATCTGTCTAGTCTATGTCGGGTATATTTGTATTTTACAACTGTTGAAGTCTGGTTTGTTTAAGGGCATGTCTCCATGTTAATTTCACTTTTAACTTAATAACAAAAGCAGAGTAAACATTTTTTTTGTTTAAATGTCAGCTAATAAACACTTTTATGTCTTATATTGTTGCTTAGTAGCACTACACCCTCATTTTATCAAAAAACATAGGGATATTTACATAAATAGGAGTAAATGAATCTTTAATTGCAAAAATAGGATTAAAGCCTTAAAATTCCCTAAATAGGAGTTATTATTTGTAATTGGACAAAAACACCCTTGAAGCTTTGAAGACATACTGTCGCCGACCAGAACACAGGACTACCGCCGTTCGCCGGTCGCCACCAGTCATCGCCGGCCGCCGCCGGTCGCCGGACATCACTGTCACCTAAAAAACTGGTCGCCGTTACAGATCTGGTGGGCGTTGCCAGAGATCTGGTCAGATCTTGCCTCCACCGGCCGTCAGCCGCTGCCCCTGTTGATCCAGCCATCGTCACAGTTCATCCGACATCAGCCGCTACAAATCTGACCTCCTCAGTTGTAGATCTGGCCGTATCCAGCGTTAATGCCAAGATTTTTTTCAGAATGACATGTAAATGACATTTTTAAAGGAAAATACATATTTTTTTAGGACTGAAACCATTTTGATGGCATTTTCCTAGTTTAACTTGGCAATTCGTAACAATTAAAGCAGAAACAGAGCATGGGGAAGAGAGAGCTAGAGAAGAGGGGGAATCAGAGGAGAAAGCCGATCTACGAAGAAGAAAAGTCGATCTCCAGCAGCGGTGGCGGTGGACTTCGCAACGACGGCGGCGAACTTCACAACGGCGGCGGCGAACTTCACAACGGCGGCGGCGACGACTTTGACTGGGCTTCTAGGTTTGTTATTCTCTACGAAGGGGAAGGAGATGAGCAGGGAGAAGATTGATACTCAGGGGAGGGGAAGAATGAATGATGCGTAGAGTTGGGGGGGATAAATTGTGCGCAGAAGGAAAAAATAATGCGCTGGAGGAGATGCGATGGTCGATGGATTGCGCAGAGAGTTAGGAAGAAATAAGGGCAAATGTGTAATCTAATCCTATTTAGAGAATAAAAATATACATGATCCTATTTAGGAATTTCAGGAATAATTTAGTCCTATTTACGACAATAACTCAAAAACATATTGAGCTTTTTTATATTGACAAGTATACTCCTCCTTGCATCCCATAATGGAAGTCGCGTAGCACCCGTACTTCTACCCCACACTCCCACCCTACCCCGACAACCTCCTACCCCATTTCCCCCACTCCTAACCACTTTTACCCTACCCCCACCTCCAACCACTCCTACCCTATCCCAACCCTAATCACTCTTATCCTATCCCCACCCCTAACCACACCTCTTCTATCCACACCCTTACCCCTACCCCTACCCTAGGAAATGGTGTTGGGGTAGGGTGGTGTAGGAGAGGGGGTGGGGGTGGTAGTAAGGTGGTTGCAAGTCCTCGAAGGTTATAATTGACATTTTTACATTGACCCATGTCTTAATAAATGCATTGATCTCGTGAAGTAAACATATGTTTATTCAGCATATCTGATTAAACAGTTGGTTAATAAAACATGTTTTAGTAAACGACGCTTACTAACCCGTGTTGTAAACATGTCCTAAGAGTTTATTTGAGTAATATTTGGATAGACAACACAAATGCATATTTGGAGTGTCAAGACATTATTTAAGTTTTTTGTTTTTGTTGACAGTCAATACATGAGATTTAGAAGTTATCAGTCATATCACTATGAGAAACCATCTACTTCTAGATTTTCGACTCTTTAAATAAGTTTTAGTGGATGGTGTGAAACATTGATGAGTGTAAGATCACTATTTTCTAAGGTTTGAGATTACATGCATGCATGTATGTCAGTATGTGTGACATCAATGTGCATGTGCCCCCATGCGAGTGGAAGGAAGGATCCGTGGCCCTTTCAGTTTATTTTTTCATAAATATCAATCCAGATTTTTTACTTACCAAACAAGTATTTATCTTCCAAGTGTAAGTTGGAGGCTTGAAGAGGGAAGAGTTAGTTTTTTGATGTAAGATTACAGGTAAGAAGAGCAGAGGAAGGTTATTTTTAAACATATCCAACTCAATTTGACAGTTATTGATCCAAAAATGATGGAGGGCTTATGTGTTTCTTGAGTTATATCTGAAATAAGGGTATCTATGATCTTCATAAACCCTCAGAAATGGTTTCTTTGAGTAAACAACAGTGTTCGGTCTAATATGAACTTCATATGTGTAAACAACATGATATTGTGGACAAAAATAGTGTACATCTTGGTCTGAGTCTGTTTTTTACAGGTCTAATGTCAACACCCAACCTCGACCCCTCGAGGTTGAGATGATGCCAATGAAGGCGCTATTGATTATCGAAGTTATATCGTTAATCTCTTTTTTGGCACATCCAAGAAGAATTTTGGTAAAAATAATCATATACAAATTTCATAATGTAATATTTATAAGCTTGATTTCTTTCGATCAACTGCGAAATCCAAATCTAAGTTTGCTGGGGTCTTGATTATGCCCATGTGCTGAATTATTTTAGAAGAAGAATATTATTGAGTAGTAATTGATATATACAAATATTTAAAGAAAGAAGTTTTGTCTTGTTTGAAGTTTTACTAAAAAAAAATCAACAACTATACGTATGTTGGTGTTTCTGGGCCCAGGGGGGGCTCCAATGTTTATTTTCTGTTCTATCAAAGTTCATTCTGGGACAAGATGTATTATGCATGTACCCAATTTGCATTGAAGATAAGGACGACAACGGGGTAAGCACCAACGCCAGTCTTAATCGGTTAATCCTCTCATATTCTCGAGCACCCACCCCGGGTTGATTTAGCGAAGGGGGTCGCCCCTCGAAACGAGGAAATGACGAAACAGAGCATGTTTGTAACAGGTGTTTCCAAATAAGACATATCCAATTTTTTTAACAAAAAAAGCCAAAACGGAGTTCTCAACTCCGGAAATAAAAAGTGGTCAAAAACAACTTTATTGATTTCGGATTT